AAAAAAAAAAGTCTAGCTTGTCAAATTATTTTAAATACCCTCAGGATAAACCTGATCGATTAATGAATTGTAGAAGTCATAACGGGAAACCTTTGAAATCTTCCTTTTTCTTTTCGAACAACTTGTAATAATACCTTAGAAATTATAATATAAAACACAAGTAACAAGTGTCTACGCCTTTTCTTCTCCAAAAAAAAAAAGAAAACTGACAATAATCGTTAAGTTAAAATCATTCAAGCGAATAGTTTGCAACTTAGCAACATAGTTGAAGTAATACTTGAAAAAGTTAATGGAATTTTTTCTCATTATCAAAAAAGAAAAAATCTTATAAGTACATTGATATACAATCAAGAAATTAAATGTAATGAATTTTCTATTTTACTATTCTACATAATATTTTAATCATAAATATTTTATTTTCGTTTTTCTATAATAGAAATGTAAATAGGTTGAAAAACATGATTTTTTATCTGTTCTGTCACACTGATGTTGTTGTTGCCATAGAAGAAAACATTTCTTTTTTTTTGGCAAACACTTGTTTTTTGCTTGTATACACATGAGGGAGCAAGAAAAAAAAAGAAACGTTCACATTTGTATATTTCATTTGAAAAAATGGATGACGATTTGACAGGTGAGAAATAAATGATAGAAGATAAAATTTTATCTTTCCATTTGCTTTTCAAGAATATCCAACGGAAGATCTTCGTTTACAACAATGTCAAATATGTGGACGACAATTTAATGCTGAATCATTGGTGAGATAATATAAAAAATAAGCAAGATATCCGTTATCTAATCAATTGATTATGGAAATCATACTTGATTGTTTGATAGACTATCTGAGGACATAAGTTCTTTTTCTTTTTTAATAAACTGTAATACAGAAGAAGGAAAGGAGAATGTTCTTCCGGTGAACATTCTATCAGAAATAAGATGATCATATTTCTTCTTTGTCTCTTATTTCACCATCTGTCATAATTGATGAAAACCGGTCTCTTTTTTTCCTACTACATTCAAGGACGTATATCGTATTTATATAGAACTATTTTTGAAAATTCTAGAAAAAGCATCAAAGTATCTGTAAAAAAGTAACAAATAAAAAACGAAGAGTATTCGATGCTGGAAAACAACGAGCTACCGATTCTGATGTACCGTATAAAGCAACTAAGCAAACAGCACAGGTGAGTTTGTGTCATTTTGTATAATCTAATTAATGTATTTATCGATATATTCAGATATATAATGGTGAAATTGATCCTCGAGAGATTCAAGTATGATGAATAAAGAAATATTCTTAAAAATATTTCCAATTCTAGTCAAAGTCGAAACCAAAATCAAATTGGAGAGAAAAGCATACAAGATTAATTCAGTCTATTCGTCAAGCTCGAACTGTTACGCAAGCTATAGAACAAGGCGCACCATTACCAGCTTTTAGACCAAGTGAAGTTCCATCAGGTTAATTGATATGATTTCTTTTCTTCTTTTATTCTCATTTTTTTAATTTCTTTAAAGACTATGTTGCATGCCCTTATTGTCGTCGTAATTTTAATGAACATACTGCTAAACGACATATACCTTTGTAAGAAATTACTTTATTTGATATTATAAACTTTTATTTAATTTAGTTGTCAAACACAACATGAACGAAAACAAATGCAACCACCTGCTAGACCAAATCAACAAGTTGATAGAGTATAAAGAAAACAAATATCTAGTTAAAAATCAATTTTGATATTCTATATTAGGTACGAACGGTTCCTCCACAAAATTCATATCCACATAAGCAACAGTCAGCAAATTTAGAGGCATATTCAAATTCACATGATGCTCATACTAATGGTTATAAACAGGTTAGATCAGCTCCTATGCGAGTACGACGAAATCCAGCTGAGTAAGATTTTTTTCAATCAATATTTTGTACTAAAATCTTTTCTTAGACCACAGTTACCACCACAATCACTACCACCTAAAACATCGGGTTATGGTTATGGAGGTTATCAAAAACGATATGGATCGAATTATAAAGAAGAATTAATATCTCCAGCTCATTATTATGAACCTGATGTAAGTTATTTTATTCGAAAAAATGCACATCTCATCTATTTTAATTAAGGATGAAGATAATTATGATTCACATATTTATCATCGTGCTCAACAACCTATACTTATGCGTACAGGACGTACTCAAGAACATACAACTTTAAATGTACGTGCTCGTCAACAAAATGGTGATCCAAGCCCGTACATGCGTCGGATACCACCTATACTAACTGCTCCGGCTTCATATAGTCAAACACAATATCATTATGGTAATGGTCAAAATAATACTTCGACGAGACCAACTGCTATTGGACGACTACCACCACCACCACCTCCGCCAGTATCACTGAGAAATCGATGCGGTGAATGTGGTAGTGCTTTTAAAATTGCAAGTGCTCGATTCTGTTGTGAATGTGGTTGTAAACGTTAAATCAAACTTTTAGTTTATTTTTAAATATAGTCCTTGTACAACAGTTTCTTTCTAACGTTTATAAAATACATTTCTAAAAAAAAATATCATAAAAGACAATCAAAAAATAGATTAACAGCTCATAAAAGATAAATGAAAATTATAATTTAATTAAAATATAAAATATTTTATAAGTAGATGACCAAGAAATAGTAAACGAATTGAATGAAATTACACGATTTATCAAGTAATAAATATAATAACTCAAAATTACATTGTTTATTTGTAGACGAAAACAATTTGCGATGATAAAAATAAGTTAAATATGATAATTAGCATATATAAGATTAATGTATATTATAGGAATAAACGAATTTGTAAGTATTGCTATTAAGAGCTATTTGAAAAGAATATATTTGATTCTTTCATTGTTTCGGATGCATTTTAAATGAACTTAAAATGCTATTTGTGTATGCATTGAAGCTAAGAATAATTTTAATTAAAAATCAAGAAGGAAATTGTTCCATTCTACAGCATCATTGACATAAAATAAGTTGAAAAAAAAACTCGCAGAAAGCTATTCTGTAAATAATTATTATTTCTACATGTCTAAACATATAAAGAAAGGCAATTTATAAAAGTTAATAATCTAAAATAGAATCTTTCTAGGTTCTCAAAGTATGTAAAGAACATTATGATGGTCGTAGCTTAAACAATACGCAATTTTAAGTCTACCTTTTATGATCAGCAATGTTAAAACAACTGATCACATTATATACATCGTTATATCTAAACTTTTGACTTAGTTAAAAAGAGCATTAATTCTACCTATTGACTATCGATATATGAACAATGAATGATAGAGGATAAACTAGATGTTGTGTTTTGTATGAAATAAATGCATCTAGTATTCACGAATACTTTTACACGCTAATAAAATTTATTCAAGACTGTATTGGAACGAAAAACAAAAAATCCACCTTAACAAAAAAAAACCCGTAACCAAAGGGTTAAAATAAAATGAGGAAAAACTCACACACAATTATAAAAAGACACGACAAAAAATTTCTTTCGAACAATTTCAAATTTTCTATAAAATGACAATTTTCTTTGAATTAATCCATGATGGTAAATTATAAACAAAACATGTTAAAGAAAATCTTAAATATGTTAAAAAATAAGAGATATTATTAATCAATTATGGTGGGTATAATACTCACATTCATATTCGTATTGTGTCACGTACAATTTCTTCTTCAATTGGAAGTCATACTATTGGTTGAACAAATGTATAAGAAAACATTCGGGCTCACCATTGCAGAATTGTAACATATTTCTCTCGAGGTATTGTCTCATCTCCGCCAAATCTTGCATGGCGTTCATGTATTGTTGATAGTACCTTTGGTATAATGCTGTAAAACGAATCCGACGTGACACTTGTTGATGGTTAGAAAATATGTGATACATATTCCCTCTGATCCAAAAGTCCTGAAATGTTATATGACGATCAATGAATAGCCGGTAAGCCATAGAAATCCCAAGGCCAATAGGCAGATCATAAAATTCGTCGCGGAGGTCACCTCGATGAGGATCGATAGCTTTCCGACGAGCAATTTCGACAAAAAAAAGTAGACGAACTGCTGGATTGTTAAAATCACCAGTAGGCAATTGGTAGTAACTGAGTGGAGGTCTCCCATTTTCAGTAAGCAAGCAATTTCCTGGCTGTTGACTATTGACGTGTCCGTCATATCGAAGTTCTAACGTAAACGTGCGTCCATAATATGTAATGGTTTCTGCACAAATGTCATAAACACCATCAGGCGGCGGAAAAAAATGAGTCTCATAACTAGTTCCATCATTTTTCTGAACCGTTCTATAATATAGCTTCGTATTCTGTACATCGATCAGATGTTGGATTATTTCCTCATTAGAAAACGATGTAAGATCAATCCGTGGTGGACGTTGCGTAGGTGTTGTATTTGGATTTCTTAAGTCTCCTACAACAGTATTTGTTATTGTTTGAGTAATTGTTTGAGCATATTTAGTATTGTTCCAGAAATTATGTTCGATATAGGTCAGATCATTAACAGGTAACATGTTCATATTCATTCGTTCCTAAGATGAAGTAGAAACTTTGCTAACTATAATAAAAAATATCTGATTATAGGGCATATAAATTATCAAAATAGTTAGCTTACCTTCAGTAGGAGTGGGTTAATGTAAGCGGATATTAGTGTGAGCGTGTGTGTGTAGTCAAAGCCTGTAAAAACAATACATATCGTTATTTACATATCATATTTGTGACAATAATCACCTGTAAGTATCTAATTATTTCAAGCAATACAACACAGTATGAGTCGTTTAAAACGGCTTACTTGTCTTTTCTTTTCAACGATGAATGACGACGTGATTGTCTTTTTTTCTTGTATATACTTTTTATTCCACATAGATGTAGTACCAGATGGAATAAATGTATAATAACAATGAATAATACTTTTACTACACATCTACTCTATTGGATTGATTGACGCCACAAAAAATGAACGAGTTTTTTTCGCAGAGAGACATCTTGGTAGAAGAGAATGAATCGATGATTGAACGATACTCCTTCTTTAAGACAAAAGTACCATCGAAACAGATATTTTTTTTCCTCTTTTCGATGTAGCAGCTTAATATGAAAGTGAGGGGTTTCCTCTGTTTACAACTTTTTTATATTAAAGAACAGGAATTGCATTCCAACAAATGTGAAAAAAATATATTATTCTTTTTTCGTTATTCTTCTGGAAAAGAAAAATGTCAATTTTTACCCAGTTAAATATGCCACTTTGACTTTACTTTGATATTAAAGCTTAATTTTAAATCTAACATTGATTTGTTAAAGTTGAATAGGATTCAAAAAACAAACGGAATATGCAACAATCGAAACAACTTTAAATCACTCTAACTTTAACATTAAAATTTCAAGTGATTTTTAAATATTTTAGTTTTAATTTTTCACATTTGATATGATGTAGAGTCTTACTATCATCACTCGCACATGTACGGCAACAATACATATAAAAAACAAAATTCTGTAGAACTTTAAAATTTGGCGTTAAAGTTAAAGTGCCATGTCTATTCTTATGTCGAAGAATGTCTATTTCTTTACTTACTATTATATATTATTCATTTTTAATAGTATATTAATATACCATGTATAGATAATCGATTCTCTTTTCTATAAAGAAAAGAATGCTAATCGACATCAATTGAAAAAAAGGATATTATTTATTTAGTGTTATTTTTCTGATAAAAATATTGATAAAATGAAGCAATGAACTATTCTTAGATGTTTTTATTACTTATAATACACAGTTTATCACATCTGTACACTTTTTTAAATCAGAAAAAAACAACCAAGTAACTTTTAGGAATAATGTTGAACTATTTATCATATCTATTTAATTTAATATACATGAAGAAAAAAAACGCTGCAATATAACGTGAACAGAACAGTTTTTTCGATCTTTTCCTTTTCAAAAAGTGTGATAAAGTGTATTCGTTGAGTACTAAAATTGGTTTAAATAATATTATATTATTTCTTCAGCTATTTGATTAACCCTTTAACAGGCGACTTTTATATAGAAAAAGTGGATGAGAGGTAGGGAAGAACAGAAAGAAAAAAAGTGTTATATATATGTACTACCGCCCGTTAAAGTGTAAAAAATAAACAAACCAATAGAAATAACCTTTTTATACGCTAGCAGAGAACAGTAACTTGCAGGTGTGGGATGAATGTTTAATGCAAACCCACTTCAATAAGAATTAAGACACAAAAAATTAAAGGAAAATAAAAAGATCTTGTGTAGTTAGGTGGATACAAGTTCTGTAATATATCTATTGATTATTCATTGTATCTCACGTAATCAAGATCAGAGAATTGAATAGATGTGGATGTTATGTTTATCATTCATCTATCTATCTATCTTCTTTACATTAAAATCATATTTATCAAATACAATAAATGTACAAGCAATGCATAACATATGTTAATTTTTCATTTATAAACATTGAATCTTCCTTTTCTATATGAACAATAATCGCAGTTTTACACAATTCTATTTTATTCTATTAATTTACAAGCATACAGATGACATGTATCTGCTTATGTCACAGTATTTATCAATGAATTTTTATTCAGTAAATTAGATTTAGATTGTAAACTTGAAAGTGCGAGCGTGTATAACGAATACATCAAGGATCTTTGTATGCATTCACATATCATCTTTTGTGACCTTGAAGTTTACAAATCATCATTACTTTGATGAATATTATAAATTGATAGATATAGAAACTGTCTTCATTATTATGAAAGACGTAGTGTTATTACTACTTCGAGTTTATTTCGTTTGCTTTTGGTTTATTCTTTACTTAGTGTTTACAGTCTCACTTTATTTACATTATATTCTCTTTTCTTTTTTTTTCTCAAAGGGTAGCTATATGAATAGACAATATTTTTCATAAACTTCATACAGAATTCCATCTTTGTCGTTTTCTGTTTTCGCATATTAATGTGGTCCTGATTGAAAAGCATCTTGATCTTGTATGATGCGCATGTCTAGACGTATAACTTCGTGATTTCAAGAAAACAAGAATCTTGTGCTGAAATATATATAAAAAGAATCTCTAATAAGATATATGAAAAAATAAATATTCAGCTTTTGAATACAGTAAAATATAATGATTTTAAAAATAATTTTTTTCTAAATTTTATATTGTTGGATAAAGATATTCTCGCTCCTCATTATATTTTAACATTCGATCGATAATAAATGATAATTCACCGAATGTAGCATGTTTAGTATTTAATGTTACTGTATGATTTATTGTAAGGTTCAGGCAATTCAAGAATCAAGCGGGTTATTTTAAATTTTTTTATTGTAACTCGATTTAGCTCGATGCGCTGAATTTGAATATGTCTATTTTAGTAACAAAAAGTGTATTTTTCACGTCGGAAACTTGAAAACACTCAAAAAATCGATAGTTTTAGAAAACGAATAGTTTTAGGAAAATTTGTCTACATATTTTAAAACAAAACTCACTGTAGCTTTCTAAGTTTTTTTCTTTAAACTATTTAATAATCTAATTCTAAAAATCTAGTTTCTGATCACTCAGACCTTGTGTGGACATTTGAGGAAGCCTATTTATATCAATAAGTGAAAGAACCTGTTTTTCTCATGAAAAGCGCATCAAGTCATTTTTTAACCTAAATAGCCGCTTTACTTCACCTTTGTTAGATTTCATTAAACTTCCATTACAATAAACCAATAGTATTTGTGAATTAGATAACAAAACTAATTTTTAGATTAAATAAAAAACCTCAACTTAAATTTATTTTTGAATCAGTCATATCAAATGTTATACCATGTATACAAAATCAATTTCAGTTATATATAGGATGAGACATATCTATTTTATTAAACATCTCTATGAACTTTTATTTCAAAAGAAAACAAAATAGAATTATGGTTGTGTTACATCAAATAATGAACTTATACGTAGGTCAAAATTAGCTCTGTCAAAGTCTATTATTGGTATCCATGAATGAAAAGTAACGGTTATTATTGGTTCAAACATATGAAATCCATTTTTTGAAAAATATCCACTTCTATTTGCTGATATATCAAGCCAAACAAATAGAGCTGGTCGTGTAGCTGTAATTCTTATAACAATATCAGTTGATGTAATTTGTTGAATATTTTCAATATGAAGATTTGGTTGATAAAGTTGATAATTTTTTGGTTGTGTTAAAAACAATGTTTGATCTATGGACTGATGATTATAATCAAATGAACAATGAAGAATACAATGGTTATCATTTGAACAACTTGTACGTTTCATTAACGATGTATATGAAAGATCAGCAACATGTTGCATACTTGTTAAGTCTAAAACGACATCGTATGCAATTGATAATTGAACAGAGAATTTATTTAATGTATGAATCGAACACATTAATTGACCATGAGTTTCATTTAAAAGATCATTAATTACATAGAATGATATACGAGCATTTTCATCGGTTAGATTTGCTAGATAAGGTGTAAGAATAACTATTGGATAAACAGGTTCATACATATGTTTAACATAATAATGAGCCATTTTCCATTTTAAACTATATTCAATAGATGACCATGTTGGTGCTTGCCAAATATCATTTATTTGCCAATACATTAAACCCATTGTATGACTAAAAATAAACGAAAGTAAAATATATTTTTTTTAGACAAAGAAATAAATTTACCCTTGACTTGTATTTGGATTAATCATATTAACTGATGAATGAACTCGACATACATCACTAATACTCTTTAATGTCATAGCTTGATTTATTTGACTTAAATAAATCCATTGAGTAAAATTTTTCAATGAATCATTTGTTATTGGTACTGGTAAATTACTTTGAATATGATATCTATAGGATAAAATAAAACAAAAATATATTTTCTTTAAGAATTAAAAAACAAACATCATTGCAGTTAATTGATTTTGTGAATGTTCTCGATGTAGAAGAAATGAACTGTTCAAATTCAAATTTGATGTATCATTTGTTGCTTGATACCATGTATCTAAACTTGGTAATGATTGTATACCTGTTTCAGAAAGAAAACGAGTGATTGGATACGTTGTTGGATCCCATGAATCATTGTGATAACCATAAAAATGAACATCACCTAAAATTAATAGACTTTATAGAATTTAATACAATTTTTTCTTATGATAACATACCATAGAGTGGATCACCAGGATCTTTGGCAATATAATTTTCTTTAATTGTTTCAAGACCATTACTTGGTGATGAAGTAACAAATGGTCGATTATTACCTTTATCAACTTCTTTCACACTATTCATTATTATATCAACATATAATTTACGATAATCATCTTTTACTTTTGGCATTTTCTCTTCGGATACATCATACCAATTTTGAGCAACAGCTGCTTCATTTTCATTATTTCCTGCCCAAAGAACAATCGATGCATGTGATTGAAGACGTTTTACTTGATAAATAACTTCATCATGAACATTTTTTAAAAATAATTCATCAATTGGATATCTATACATGTTCAAGAAAACCGAAATAATAGAATTATGAAAAACAAATTTACTTACAAACTACAAGCAAACATAAAATCATGCCATAACATAATCCCTAAACGATCAGCTATTTCATAGAATGAATTACGTTCATAAATACCACCACCCCAAATACGCAACATATTCATATTAGCTAATTGAGCTGAACGAAGTAAACGTTCAAGTTGTTCATCTGTTACACGTTCTTGAAATGCATCTGCTGGTATCCAATTACTACCTTTAATGAAAATGGATTGATAATTAATAAGAAAATAGAATGATGTTCCATTAATAGTTGAACCATAATCATGTTGAATAAGTTCTACTGTACGAAAACCAATTGTACGTGAACCAATAAATTCTTCTTGATTATAAATAGATAATTTATATAATTTTTGTTCACCATATCCATTTGGCCACCAAAGTTCTATGTCTTGATCAGGAATTAATAATGAAATCGATAGATTATGATCAAATCTAATACTTGTTTCATAAATAAATGAAGTATTTTCTAATATAAATTTTAATTGACAATCAAATAGATCATTGTTACTACTTAATAATACATCAACTTGCCATTTGTTGATGGATGATTGATATGAAGCAACATTAATACTTTCAAGTTGAATCAATATATCAGTATGATTAGTACCTTCGAGAAAGAGATCACCTGGAATACCAATTGGAGCAAATGCTGGACCCCAATCCCAACTAAATGAACATGGTTCTTTTCGAATGAATTGAACATGACATTCACCATGTTGAACATCAGGTGTACAATCCGGAGGTACACTATCATTATATGCTTTCGCTTGATTTAATGCATATAATACTGGTGATTGAAAATCAATACGAAGTTGATTATCAAATTGTAAACATGATCTTATTACATTGAATGTATATGGAATAAACATACTATTTGTTTGACCAAGAAAACATTCATTTAATGTTATATTAGCAACTGTATCGATTTGATCGAAATGAAGTATAAATTGTGTAGATGTTAGAAAATCTTGTGGTAACGAAAAATTCTTTGTAAATGTCCATGAAGAATAAACTAGAGAACGCTGATTGATATCATTAAAGTCCCAATAAGGTTCAGTAATTTGATTTGCAGCAAGAAGAATTGTATGAATAGTACCAGGTATTTGACCTTGAGCAGAATAAGATCTGTTATCAGTAATAAACCAATTGTCACCAGTTAAAGGAATACGAATAGAATGTGATAAAGAAAACAAAAGAAAAACAATAACGAGAAAAACTATACAAGATGAATGTCTAATCATAATAATTTTATTTTAATTATTAAGAATGATGACGACGATGTTTTGATGATTTTTTCGATTTTTTTGATTTAGATGAATGATGTCGATGTTTATGATGACGTTTTCGTTTCGAACTTTTTGATTCGGATTCGGATTCCGACGAACTATTTGTACTGGGTGATCGACTAAAATGAAAAATATGTAGTTTTTTTCTCCTTGAATATGCATTCTATATATAAACATACTGTCGTTTACGCTTTGGTTTTTCTGATTTTGCACTTGTTTTTGGTTCTTTTTTTTGGACGTTTTGTTTTTCACGATTGATTTCTTCTATAATAAATATTTCATTATGAGTATTAGTAGTTATTTATATAAAACTTACCTCGAGCAAGTTGTTGAAGAGGTGTATCTGTGTCGTCGTCACTCGATGGTGAACTAGTTGAACTAACGTCAAGTACAACGGCTTTAGTTGGATTTGCTTGAAGAAAATTGCGACATTGATAAGTTAAATGACCAACTAATAAGAAACAAACAACTTATTTTACTATTTATATAACAAAATTTTATTTACCGTATCCACATTTACCACAACCAACTTTATTATCTGGTATTTGTGGACGTGTATAAATACCTGAAATGCAAAATAAAATAAAACAATGTTTCCTATGCTCAAAATTCTCAAACACCGAGATAAATATATATTTATATCTAAAATCATATGATTTACTTAGAATATTATATACATAGAAAATCTGTTAGATACGCTAAAGTATTAATAGATAATCATTCGCATATATTAACTATACTACAAAGAATAAAGTTATAGAATTTTTCATCGTAAGAATGTCTTTTCACATCTTGAGATTCAACTTAAACCGTTATACTATAGTTGGACAACTATTGATCAACATTTATGATTGACATCATAATATAAGTTTGAGTACCTTTGCTCAGTAATCTGATTTTAATTGATTACTATATATAGTGATGCTTGAAATAAATCAAATAATCATCATTGTTATTTCTTATGTAAAAAAACGCGATATTTTGACTTACTTGACATGGAAATTTAGCACTTAAAGAGCGAAGTAGAATTTTTAATATCTGAAAAACACAAGAAAATTAATCTCTTCCTATTCGAAAAAGAAAATTATGTTAATTGAACGTTTTGTTTCGTCAAATAATAAAGCTTGTATGTAAACACAAACAATAACAATACATAGGAAAAAAAAGCTATATGTGTTCGTATATATATATAAACATATATATATATATCTTTTTTTATTCATTCATTTGTCTTTTTTCTTCTTTTTCTTTGTTGATTCATTTGCTGATTCTTCACCCGATTCACTTTCACTCTAAAAGAAAAAAACATAGAAGTAATTCTATAAGAATTTTCGAAATCAATACGAACCGATGAATGAGCAGATGCTGCTTTCTTCTTGCGTTTTTTCTTTGACTTTTTACTCTTTTTGGCTTTAGATTTTGTTGTTGATTCAGTTACTGGAATTGGTGGAGCAGTCGTAGATGGTGTACCACCATCACTATCTTTTGTTTCACCTTCATCACTTTCAGGTGCATCCACTAGAACTGGTTGAGATGTAGGAGGAGCAGGAGGAGGAGTAGTAGGAGTAGTAGTAGTTGTTGCTGTTGCTGACGAACTAGATTTCTTTTTTTCTTCACCATCGGAATCCTATAAAAATATAAATTCGAATATTTTCATTCCGATCTTTTATGTATATCTAATAGTTTATAGTAAATAAATATTTATTCACTTACACTTACTGCTACTGTATTACTACTATTTGATTTTTCATGTTTACGTTTTTTCTTTTCTTTTCGTGCTTTTTTATGATGATGATGTGAATGATGAGATGCAGCGGCAGCCGCTGCAGCTGCTGCTGCTTGTGCATCAGCAACAACTTGTCGACGATAGTCTTCAAAAAGACGAAGACGATCTGAATCTGATGAAAGTGCAAGATAATCATTATCATTTTCAATGGATCCTTTAACTTCTTCCCATTTGGATTGATCTGTTAATGACTCTAGTTTTGTTTTCAATAATAATTTAAAATTTGATTCAAGTCGTTTTTGCTAAAATAGACAAAAAAAATTAGATATTTTCGTTTGAAAATTTTATTTTATTTACTTTTCGTGCTTCATCTTTCAGCCGTTCTTTTTCTTTTGTTTCTGCTCGATCCATTAACTATAAAATTAAGAAGAGAAAATTAAATAATTAAGAAATCAATTTCTACATACACTATTAAATGTTAATTTAATATTTCCAGCATCTAATGCTGCTGCTCGTTTATCCGTTGAAATAATTTCAGCAAATTTTTCGAATGTTGAATCAATATCAATTGTATAACCTTTATCTTTTAAGATTTCTTTAACGACTTTTTTTTCATCATGGAAACGAGCTTTTAAATCTTCAACATAGAGTTTAAATAAATCTAATGGTGTTGAACCTATAAAGAAAATTAAAATGAATTTATAGAGAACAGAAAAACAAAGATCTATTTTACCGGGTTGTCCAAGCATTTTACTAAATCTTTCATCGTTAGAAATAATACCAAATAATTCAACCCATAATGACATGGAATGAAGTTTACCTTGTTCATGTAATTCATCAAGAAAATACTAAAAGAAAAATAGATTATTTATCAAAACAAAACTTATTTCTTACTAAAAATGCTTCTCGATTTTTTCGATTTGTTCGTCGAATATATTTTCGTTGAGTTTCTATACTATCTTCATGGATTCTTTCTAATTCACGAATATATTCTTCAAATACAATTAATGCATCTTCTTTATCCATATCTATTAAAAAAAAAGTAGTAATTCAATATGAAATAATACTAATAATCTTACTTTGCAATTCTGTATCATTAACAAAATCAACATTATCAAGTAAAAGACGTTGAGCTTCTTGCCATGTTGTTCGATATGTTACTTTTGACATATTGGATAAAATATCTTTCAAAGCTTTGACATTACGTTTTTTTAATGCTTTCGCTTCTTCCTGTAATAAAAACAAAACTTTATGTATTTCATGAATCATGGGAAAATTTGAACTTATGGACATCTGCATTCTTTACTTGATTACACAGGGATGGAATGCAAACTATTTTGGTTTTAAATCTATGTTACATATTCATTCTGAAGGTCGAAAGTGTTCTAATCAATATCCTAGCTTTAGATATACTCTAAATATAAGAGAAAAAATAAACTAGAAACCTTTTCTTTTTTATCTAAATAATTAACCACATCTTCATATAATTCTCGTCGTTCACGTTCGGGTACAGCTGACCAAACTTGTAAATGTGAAAATAATTGTTCGGCTTTTCGATATTTTATTGTTGAATTCATATGTTCACAATTTTGTAGATATGCTTCAAATTCATCTTTAATTTGTTTTAATTTTAAACGTTCAGCTTCTTTTTCTTCTTTAACACGAGCAACTTTATATGCATTAAATGTTTGTTTTTTTTCATTGATATGTTTTATAGCTGCATAACGTGCATCATTACCAATTAATTTTAATGCTTGTTCCCATGTTGAATTTGATGGAACATTTTTTTCACGAAGTAATTCTTTAAATGCATCCATCGCTTCTTTTTTTGATGCATATTCAATTTTAACTTGTGGTTCATTATTTATTGCTGGACTATTATTACCAACTCGATCACTATT